ATCATGCCTTTCTCCTATAATGAAAGTCACGGTGCCATGCACGGGATTCCTGGATGGTTACCCATCCAGGTACTAGTCAGACCAGGTTTTGATAAGCTCTATCACAGTTTCTTCATTCTGGCTTTCAGCCATTTTCTGGTAACAAGGATTTATAGTCTTCTTTCTTCCCAGTTCTGTGATTTCTTGGTTTCTGCTGTGAATTAAACTCCAGATTTTGCTTAGCAGTAAAGTCTAATTTCATTGTAAACGAATACCCTGTGGGCTCATCAAATTTTTTCCACCACTTACAGCTGGAATCAAGTCACCATATTCTTCTAGAAGTTTTTACAGCAATTTTCATAGAGAAATGCCAGTTTATATCCACACTAAATTAGACTGTAGAGTTGCCCAGAAAAAGAGCCATTCCTTGCGTCTTAAGAGATGTAGCAGCAAGGTGAATCAAGGTGGTTACATTTCATCCTGCAGCAAATTTTGCATCACTGCATAAATGTACAGAAAAACATTGTACACTTCTAATGTGCACTTCTCATTAACATAAAAACACATCACAGTTGAATGAAACATACATAACACTGGGATTAGGAAAGAATGCCTGAATTTATCTGAAAAAAAGTCTCAATTGCAGCATGCTTTTCTTCATCAAACAGTGTCCTGAACGATTAGAAATTAACTCCATTAAAGATTGGTAGATCATAGAGAGCTATACATATAAAACATTTGTGAAAACATGTGAAGAGCCCTTGCAGTAGTTGCACGAAACTTAAAGTACCAAGAACCCAAGGACAGTTTTTACCAATGTGCTGCCCACTAGATGTGTTGGACTGCAACACCCATCATTCTGAGCCAGTGTGACCATTGGCCAAAATCAGTGAGCCAGTCATGAGTCATTGTGCTTGAATTTTCAGCTTTATCTGAATTAGTGGCAGCATCTGATTAGAGTTTCAACAGTGCTAAGCTGTCTGTGAAATCAAATCTGAGCAGCAGAAGCTTCTTCAAGATTGGAGCATCTTAATTGTGGGTACTGCATCCCACACTTGTACCATGTTGCTAACCATAAGTTTAAGACAACATTGCCCTAAAACAATTCTAGCCCAGGTCAAAATCACAGTCATGTGGCCAAGTCTGCCCCTGCACTATGAATATTTTAAGGAAATTTTTAAGCAGCACTAGAAGACCTCAAAGATGAATGAATTCAGTTCTGGTGGTGACTGAGGTGTACAGATGCCCCTTGCCCGGGAAGATCTACCACAATTTCTCACCCAGAGTTCCAAAAGAATCTGGAGCCAACTCCACTTACAGGGGATACAGTGTGGTCCCCTTTCTACTCTAGCTAAGGAGATAGTCCTGCACTTGGGCACACCTGCAGAATTGCAAATAACACACCTGCGAAAGGTGGATCCTTTTTCCTGGAACAATCCTGCACCAACTCTGAGAAGCAAATGGGTCAAATTCAACTGTTTGCACTGGCCCCACAACCACCTATATTACCCTCTTAGACAGTTGAGGGACAGGCAAGCGGCAACCTGAGCACAGTCTTGACTCTAGGACTTCCCATCTGGCCCTCAATGTCAAGATTCCTCTCTGTTTCCCACCTTGCTTGCTTATTCCTTTGCAAATGTGGAAAAGGCCAGCACATTTCTATGAACAATGGGATAAAAATATTTTCAGTGAAACTAGAACGCCATGAAACGGTATTTTGCAGTTATACATTGGAATGGGCATTTCCTATGAACTGATCCAGGATGTAGGCTAAAAAGTCTTTAACCTCACGGGACATTCCCCCTTAGCTTCCTCCCCAGTGCCAGGTGCGGCAAAAACACTGGGAAATCTCTCACCTAAACTGCTTCAGCTTTAGCAATCCATGAGTGACATCATAAGAAACAGGAAGTGACAGTGTGCAGCACAAGTGCTCCTCTTCCCACTAATGAGGAGGGGAAGAGGAAGCCCCCCTCGCCTATGCCTCAGATCCTCCCATGGGCAAAGCTTATGCCGAGTCTTCAGTTTTGACTCGATGCAAAATATGCCTCCTATTAAACATCAGGGGCAGAGATGAACAGTAAACAGGGCAAGCTGCAGTTCTGTAATATATCCTGACTGTGTTTGCTGCCAAAAGACCTCAGATTCTCAAACTAAGCACAGGACAGGCACAGAATTAGGCACTGATGCTACAGAGCATTACAAATCTTGGAACAATGGAACAGCTTAACATTAATAAGCATCAATAAGCGGTTTTCTAATATAGTATATTTTGGGTTCCTTTCCCCATTTTCATGATTCGTCTTCATCTATTTTACGTTTACCATTCAGGAGGTAAATGCCATCTTGGAATCAATGCACCTCTCTCACTTTTTTTAAACTCACCTCTCATTTGGGTCGATAGACTTTTTTACCCATTGTAATTTATTGCTGTTGCTGATGAAAGAATAAAGTGAAAAGTGGAGAGTGTAATCAAAGCTAATAGCAGGGCCAAATACCAAGTGACAATAAATCAGCAGGAAAAATTGCACTGGAGATAAATGGAGGTGTTTACCATTTCCGTTTGAATACTGCCAGTACAACAACTATCTGTATAAAATACAAGGCTGCACAGGTGAAAGTGGCATTCCTTTCCTTCATCTAACCCCCTACCCTCCACCAACTTACCTCCTGCCTGTCTCTTTGTTATGCAGATTGGTACCGAGGAATTATGGTCTGGGGAAGTGACATTTTTTAGGCTGGCTTACAGCCACACTGGAGTCCTTAGAGATGCGTTTTGTTTTTAACTCTAAAATAAGTGGGAAGAAACCAAATCATTCTATGAGAAATGCCGTAGCAAGCAATGCAAAGCGTTTCAAAGGAATGTCTATTAAGTTGTTTATGTCCCTTTCAATTAAGGTTCGCAGGAAATTCTTTCAAAATACTGAAGACTCACTTTAGTTATTTGTTTGGAAATTGGAATGGTTATTAAGCTGGCAGAACTTAAGAAAACTGCCCACCTTTCTGATTGCCACACTCTTCTGTTTGAAAAAAAAAACCAGCTTGCTCTAAGAATGAAAGCCTTTCATCATCTCTTCCCCCAATTTGGGCACTTGCCTAATATATATCCATCTGTTTCCCTGCCCAAAAGGACACTGAGTGGTTGGTGGATGACCAACATTAAGTTGGAATTTAGAGCTCCTGCAGAGGAACATAAAAGTTCAGAATGGTGTTAGAAAAGTCGATTTTGTGGCTGATTTTGTATGCTGGTTTACTTCTCTACTGTCAGAATTCAGGTATGTATAAACTCATTGGAAGGATGACCTGCCTTTTAAAAAATGAAATTCTGCCAGCTGGTATTTAACTGAATAACATTATAATACTACAAAAAGGCAGTATGGTGCAGTGGTTAGACTGTTGGACTGGAACTCAGGACATATCCACATTCTAGCCCCACTCAGCCATGTTATCACTAAGGTGATATTGACTGAGTCACGGACTGTCAGCCTGACCTATCTTGCAGGATTGTCATGAGGATAAAATGGAGAGGAGGAAGTAGGGTTGATGAGCTGCATTAGGTTCCTTGTAGGAATAAGGGCAGGGTATGAATATCACAAACAAGCAAACATTTGCAGGGCGATCAAGGATCTGCCTTTCATGAATGGAACATGCCTCTGCCTGATTTGGAGGATTTCTCCTCTCCCAGAAGCCATAGTTCACATTATTCAACAGGGTCCTCTGACCATCTGTGTAGCATTCTGGGGGGCAAAGAATGGGATACCATGGGGAGAAGAGGGCAGGAATAGCTGTCTCTGCCAGCACATTGGCACATGCCTAAACTGAACTTCTTTGCTGGTACATCTAGTGGATGGTGGTCTTGAAACCTGACTTTTATGTTGCCTCTCTTAACAGATGCAGCCTCAGCAGTCAGCAACTGCCGCATCCCATGTGGGCCTGTGCACTGAAGATGAATGGCCAAATGCTGACATGCAGCAAGAACTGAAAAGACTTTCTCCGTTGTTATAGTAAATTTTGAAGACAAGCCCAGGGTTTTCTCTCGCAGAAGCATTCTTGGAAAGAAGATATCTGCTGGAACAGTGTTTTGGTGGATTATCTTCAATTAGAGATGGTAGAACAAGTGATTGTCAGAGTTGCCAAAATTCTCCATAATGTGGTTTCAAATTTGTTTCACCAGCACTCACAGTTTTGATCTATTTTTTCCAGCCTGTTTTAATAGGAAACATGTGCATTTTGAATGAGAAGAATGCAAACAGCTCTGCATAATTTTCAAAACGGCACACTTTCTCCCCAGTGACTTAAGCACTGCACTCCTTTTCCTCTTTTTTTTTTTTTTTTTTTTTTTAAAATTTTTTTTTTTTAATTTTTTTTCATTTTTTTTTTTTTTTTTTTTTTTTTTTTGGAAAAATGTGCATTTTTAAAATGTGGTCACAATTTTCATGAATTTGTGAACACATCTCAGGGGAGAAAGATCTACTGCTCTTCTTCACGATTGCACACATGGCATTCCAGATGATTTGCCCTCATCAGTGAAATTCTCACACAGCCCTCTCTTCACCTTCTCTTTGCAAGTCATTGGGAACCCTTCCACCTGAGGATCATCAAAAGCAGCCCCCCACTGATTTTAATGAGCTGGAACAAAGGATGCTGCCTTGCACAGGTTAGGCAGGCAGCAACTCTCTTTGATCTCAGGCAGAAGTGTTTTCCATTGCCTGGTACCTGATCCTTTCAACAGAAGGGACCAAAGGCTGAGCCCAGGACCTTCTGTATGTAAGTCATGTACCCTAACACTGAGCTCCACTCCCTGACCCAGCTTTGTCCCCAGTGTGTGTTTTCCCAAACTGCCATCTGGAAAAAAAAAAATTGATCCAACAATTACTGAAAACAATACAGAGGCATGAATGTACTTTCAATCTCTTTTTATAACACACTGAGTTAGCATTTTGAACATATCTAATTACATCTACAACTACAATCATCTATCAAAATAGCACAGTCTATCTTATATTATATAGCTATTACAATACCTTTGGATACTGTTTGACAGGAATCAATACTCTTTCTGACAGTTTTATATTTTTGTTGCTGATGACATCAAGATATTTTTTCTCTTCATCTTCCTTCTTCTCATCTGAACTCTGGAATTTTTCAATTTCTGCAAAGAGTGAACAAAAAAGGATCTCTAATTAGACTGCTGTTATTCTTTGACACGGGCTTGTTTTCTTAATGGGAAGTTATATTGTCAGGCGCTTACACATAGGAATATGTTTTGTATGTTAAACTGCAGCAGTCGTTGCAGTGAAACCAGGATCTCTGATCCTGTCGTAACACTTTATGCCATTATCCAGCAGAATACCCAGGAATGGCAAGAATCTGTGTCAGAACCAGGCATGCCCAGGAGCATCTGTTTGCAGCTAAAGTTGTGCAGTGGGTCACTGAGCTCAGCTGCTGAACCTGAGAGCTGGAAAAAAAGAGAGCACACAGACACCAGCCGTTATGCAGGGGTGGGGAGAGCTGGACCCATTGGCCAGCCTAGTAGATTGCTGTTGTTGTTGTTGTTAGTCGCCAAGTCGTGTCCGGCCCATCGCGACCCCATGGACAACATTTCTCCAAGCCTTCCTGTCCTCCACCATCCCCCGGAGTCCACTCAAGCTCACGCCGACTGCTTCAGTGACTCCATCAGGCCACCTCATCCTCTGCCGTCCCCTCCTTTTGCCATCTATTGTTCCCAGCATTAGGCTCTTCTCCAGGGAGTCCTTCCTTCTCATTAGGTGGCCAAAGTATTTGAGTTTCATCTTCAGGATCTGGCCTTCTAAAGAGCAGTCAGGGTTGATCTCCTCTAGGACTGACCAGTTTGCTCGCCTTGTGGTCCAAGGGACTCACAGGAGTCTCCTCCAGCACCACAACCAGTAGATTGCTACTGCCTGCTAATCATAGGGGCTGAAGTTGTACCACCGTCTGTATTCCTGAAGAAAGCTCTGAGGAATGACCAGAGAGCCAGGTGATTACACAGGTGAGTTGCAGCCTCAAACCAGGCTGCTTCCAGTCGCAGCCCTTAGGTGTGTAATTCACATTAGTGAGCTGCTCTCACTAACGTTTCTTGCAACGGTTCAGTTCAGTGAGGACAAAACTACAGTGATTAAAATTATCATGTAATAAATATATTGGATAAACCCAATTTTCTTCACATCTGGATCAGCACTCAAGCTTTCCGAAAACTGCACAGCATAGTATCTGAGCCTTTGGAACGTGCGATTGCACAAAAGCTTTAGATGAGGTTGCTGTTGTTGCATTTCATTTATATCCAGCCTCTTTTCCTTAACCCAAGGTGGCTTACCTGGCTGCATTTTATCGTCACAACAGCAACCTCATGAGGTAGGCTGAACTGAGGGTCTGGGACTGGCCCAAAGTCATCCAATGAACATCATGGCTGGGTGCAAATTAGAATTCAGATTTCCCAGGTCCTCCACCCAACACTCTAACCACTATACAACACTTCCTCTCAGTGTGTTTAGGCATCATTTGACAGCTATCTCCTTGTCCTGAAGCTGCACGGTGTCCCAGAGGTACCTGAACCAGAAACGTGTGGAATCTTCTCAGTGTTTTTCTAGCAAATACTTTCCTTATGGGGAATGAAGACGATTATGTCAAAGTGGTAGTCTCTGAGCTACATCTGATACCCTATGCAATTATGGTACCAGCTTAGCTGTCTTGTTGCAGAACTTTTGAGCCCCTTCCTCAGTCGCTGTCCTGGGATTTCACATCCATACGAGGAAGCAGGCGAGGAGAGAATGTGCCCAGTTGCTGTTTCCTTGCCCCCTCTTGCTGCTCCAATTGCTCCGCATCCCTCCAAAGTACCTTCTTCCCATTCGCCTGCTCATACCACTTTTAAAAAATATATACATTTTTTAAAAAACGGATGCCCGTTATCTTGGCACTCCTTAATTCAGAAATACGGGGCATGGGCCTCTCCTGGGCCGCTCCACCCACTCCCTGTTTCCTTTCCCAGTGGCCTGGCTGCTAGCAAGGGCCCTCCTGGGATCAGGCAGAGAGCGGGCTGAACGGCCGCCCCTCTCCTTGCTTCGAAAAGAGTCTGCCTCGGCCTCCCCCACCCCCTTCGCAAAGCGGGCTCACACACTTTTAATGTGTTTAGCCTGTAGTCCTCGCGCAAGTCTGTTCTTCTATAATGTCATGAATGTCCATTTTAAAATAGAGAAAGCGAGCTACAAAGTTAAGCTGGGGCTCTCACAACTAGCGCAAAACACAGCGCATTCCAGCAACAGAAACCATTAATTCAGTGGCTGTTAATGCCTTTTTGAAGAGCTTGAAGAAACTGCAGCCCCTTGGCTCTACAACAGGAAACATGTGGTAGGCTATCTAGAAAAAAGGGGAGCATCTCCAGCAGGCCATCCACCTTCCCCAGGACCAGCTCTCCCACTCTGCGTATTTTGACTGGCCGGTCCATTTTATCCCATGTAAACATCTATCAGTATTTTTTCTTTAACAGATCTACACAAGACTTTGCAGATTTTAAAATGTACGAGGGTTCTTTAAAAAGTTTCCACATGTTTTAAAACTATATTCATTAAGAATTTCAAAATCTTACATCACTTTTCTACATAGTCACTTTCCCTTGTGATGCATTTTTCCCAGCGTTGTACCAACTTTTTAATGCCATCAGCAAAAAATATATAAAATATATGTATAAAATATAAAACTGTGGAAGCTTTTTGAAGATCCCTCATATTTTCTCTCAAAATATACACTTCTAAAGATTTGACCTGGTCCTGAATGGTGCAACACTCCCTCTTAGGGATAAGGTCCGCAGCTTAGGTGTACTCCTCGACCCGGAGCTTTCTTTGGAAGCTCAGGTGACAGCGGTAGCGAGGAACGCCTTCCTTCAGCTTCGGCTGATTAATCAGCTGCGCCCCTACCTGGAATACGACTGCCTGGCGACGGTGACACACGCGCTGGTGACTTCCCGCCTAGACTTCTGTAACGCGCTTTACGTGGGGCTTCCCCTGAAGACAGTCCGAACACTTCAATTGGTGCAAAATAGAGCTGCCAGGTTGCTGACGGGGACGGGGCGTTATGCTCACATGACTCCAGTCCTCCATCAGCTTCACTGGCTTCCCATTGAAGCCCGGGCCCAATTCAAGGTGTTGATTATGACCTACAAAGCCCTAAACGGCTTGGGTCCTGGCTACCTGAACGAGCGCTTACGTCCGTATATGCCCGACCGCCCTTTGAGATCTGCGGGAGAGTCCCTTCTCCGGGAACCCTCCATGAAAGAAATTAGGAGAGTAAGTACCCGGAGGAGGGCTTTCTCTGCGGTGGCGCCCAACCTATGGAATTCACTCCCCAAAGAGGTCCGCCTGGCACCGTCGTTACTGGTTTTTCGGTGCCAGGTAAAGACCTTTTTATTTAAACATCATTTCAATTGTTAAAACATATGATCTGGCCTGGGCAACTTCTTCTTCCTTCTCTTTCTCCTCCTATATTTTTATTTTATACTGATAATTTTAATTTTGTATTTGTAAATCAATGTATTTTTTGTATTGTTATATTTAATGGTAATTTTATTATGTACTATTGTATTTCAATGTATTTTATCATGTTGTAAGCCGCCCCGAGGTTTCGGCAAGGGGCGGCATAGAAATGTTATAATAATAATAATAATAATAATAATAATAATAAAGGCACTTGATAACAATTTGCTCTGAGAACCATGCTGGAATATTTGGGAAGTAAGAAAGCTGGTGGCTAAGTAAGTTCCAATCTGTGCAGTGTTCCAGAAAGAATAGGTCAAGTCCATTCATACTGGAATTCTCAAAAGGGGAATTCATCATGCATCCATACACTGCCATACCATCCAGGAATCTTTCCATGTTCTAAGGAAACTATGCTTTGACTCTGCTCTTGAGCCCGGACTGCATATTGAGCTCATCAATGGTAGGTATTTCCAAAGGTGTGTTATGCGCAGTCTAGGAAGTATTTGTTTCAATACTTGGAAGGAAGTGTTTCACCAAAGACAATTGCTGCTTGCTTTTGTCCTTGCCTACTTGTCATCCAGCAGCTTTGTGTGGCTTCTATCAGGGCGATAGGCCAAAGACCTTTTTAATCCCATCAAGGGATGGTACAAGTCAATCCATACTGATTTGAACAGTCACTCGCTGCCTTCTGCACTGAAGCCTTTGCTGGCCTGAGTTGCTCTAATGTTTCTGACACTGGATCAATATTGTGAAATAGGGGTGCACTGCTAGGAAAACAGGTGTTGTTTATTTATGAGTGGGAAAAGCATGCATCTGGTCCATTTATAAGCAGAAGACATAAGCCCTAAAAAGGCACAGGAATGCCACATCTGAAGGAAATGCATGCTGCTTCATCATCAGGTGTCCTTCCCTTTCTTATAAGTTCTGCTGGTTCAGACTTTTGTACTAACTATGAAAACGGCTGGGCTGAAGCCCCTCTCAGTTCTGGATCAGATTAAACTTTCACGCAAAACAGTAATGAGTAAGGATAGGACATTCTGGTGCCCTGTTTCTCTACTATTTCATAGCAAAAATTAATTTGTAACAAAATTAATTTCAAGTATCTTTAACAGCCAGTATTTGGTGTGTGTGTGTGTGTGTGTAGGGGGCGTGTTGAAGAACAGAGATCTAGTTTGTGGTTGAGATGAACAAATAAAGGAGAGGTTGCATTCCTGAACGGGACCACTGTGCTCCCTGAAAAGTAATCTGCGTGGATGAACTGCTAGAATAGGCTAACATCATCATCATCGTCGTCGTTGTCATAATAGTAGTAGTAGTAATTGTTTAAGGAAAGAGTGGATTTCCTGGTGTTGCCCCTAAAACAAAGAACATCGCAGATGCTTACTGGTCAGCCTCACCAATTACAGAGACAGGAGGCTGGGTTTATAAATCTTTGTAAAGTACTGTAAAACACCATGTTGAAACTCCATCTTATGAAGCCTGGTCCAGGAAGCAGTTGCAAACCAGAAATGGCAACTGGAGAGACCCACAGAGAGTAGGAAAACCAATGAATTAATTTGTGGCAAGGGAACATCACAGCTGGGATGTTAAAGTTCAGGTCAATTTAGTACAAGAACATTTCATTATTACTACAGGTCAAGAAGACCAGTTTCAACTTCAAAGT